GGTGCTATTGTATCAAGTATAAAATTCGCGTGGTCATTAAGTTTTATTTTCGGTTGGAATCATGTGATCATTGATTACGATTTTGTCCAGTTGTAACCAACAATATAATTGTCTGTCCGATACCAGCTGGTATTTACATAAATATATTTTTTTACTTCTGAACAAATAAATTTTTGAAAAATTGAGGGAATAATATTATGAACTAATTAAAAATTAAAAAGTAACCAGGTTTCAGGTGTCCATCGCCATGATTAATGATTATAAATCACTTCCGTGCAGCACGAGCGGAATTCATGACATTAAATTTTCCTGAACGACTACGTCAATGAATCCATTCCCTGATCCGTACTGGAAAATGAAGGCTTTTCAATTTCCTTTCAAGTTATTTATGGCCTCCAAGCGACCTCTTCTACGCCATCACCTTTTCTTGCTAAAACTGAAGATTGGTTGTATTATGGCCTAAGCTTTTAGTATAAAAACGACATTTTATGTATCCATTAAATCTTTTCTATTCTAAATATTTCGTTCTGCTCTTTCTAGTTTTTTTAGTCGAATGCCAAGAGCTACATCTTAACCACAAAATCGTACTCTACTGACTACCTTTATTTCTTTACCGTCTTACGTGTTCTCGATTCGAAAGGAGTACCAATTACGTGACTCAAGTACTGACCTCTATTTAATAAAATCATTAAAAATAATACTAATTAATTATTGAATAATAATTTGATAAATTTATGGACAGAAGTGTCTGTTATTCTGGACAGAATTGTCTGTTCTTATTTTTTTTTTGTGCCTTTTACTTTAGCAGTATACGTAGGAAAGAGAAAGAAATGTACTATTAAACAGGTATTGCTAGTAGCGTTACAGAAAAACTAGCATGTGGTATGCGTTATCCTTTTTTTTTATATATTATTTAATATATTGTAGTTAATAAAACAGCTCCAAGGGGTTTGATGAAAATACTCTGATTAAAGGTCTTTATCAAAATATCTGCTTGAATCTTTAGTGAACCTTAAAAAAAAAAATAATTTTTAAAAAGATCAAACTTTTTAAAAATTATTGTAGTAAAGTCCAAGGTTAAATGATAAAGTTTAACCTAGGTACTTATATTGTTAAAAAAAAAGATAAGTTAAATATGACACAGACAGTAATTTGGCTTTGAAGACAAGTAGAATTTCTCTTGAGTTGACTGCCTGATTTTTATAAAATTTTCTTCATGTACCATGCAATATATAGTTTTTTAAATTCATTTTTAAGAAATGAATTGCTTTAAATAATGGTCCTCCAAAACTCTTATTAAATAATTCCATGCCTAAAAGATAGATATTTTTAGAGCAGTCTATCTCCTAAAGGACAGTAAAAAATCTAAAATAATAAAATTTCATCAAATCTAAAATAAAATTTCATTAACTACAGTAATCTCGAGACTGCTTAGAAATGTTATTTAACTTTTACTTTCACCCCATGATCCGTATATGTAGTTCATTCACCATCATTATAAAAAAAAAAAAGTCTGCCAATTTAGGTCAGTAAAGCTTCCTCGCCGTTTTCTTTAGCTACAAAATATTTTTATTACAAGAATTTATTTGTATGAGAATAAGATTTCTATGAGTAGCCGTTTTCAGAAATTCAGTAATCCCTCAACATATAGATGTTTAATATCCACAAGTTTTCTTCATCAACGAATACTAAAATGCGAAAGAGTTCCGCATTTGTAGATTGCACATGTCAAATACAGAATAAAATGGAAAATTTGTACATAATACCTTCTGCACTATCAGTAGTTATATATACATAACGGGTATCTTTCCACTCGTAAAATGGACGGAACAAAAAATCCATAGGAATAATTCAACTTTTTTTCTGTTCGTAATTAACGAGGTCAATGCTTTTCTTCAATCAGAACAAAACTAATTAAGGCTGGAAAATAAAGATGCAAGTGAAGTTCTTAAAACTGCGATGTTTAAGGATGAAATCGACACCACGACGAGCTGGTTGAACTTCAATATAAATAAACACAATCATAAATACGACTACTTTTTCTTTACGAACTTAATTTTTTATTGAATTAAATTTATTGAAAATTACACAAAATTGAAATAACGGCAGTAAACATCATGCCAGTAACATTTGGAAGCGACGAAACAATACAGTATAAATTAACTTATGAAACCTTATTAAATTTTATAAGTTCATAAAAATATTGCATTAACCTAACCCATATTACACATGATCAATGCCTTCCACATTTCACAGCCATTATACTGTTAAAAATTATGTATATTAATTTTAATTATTAAATGAAATTCATATTATGCAATTTCTATGTTTTCCAAATTTCTTCCAAGTTTGAGTCAACTTTAACTATCAGACTATAGGTGTGTCAAATAAAGCATTAAATAAAGCAAATAAGTGATCCAAAAGCGGAAGTAATTTTTTAGAGAGTAGTGTGTAGATCTATATAAAATTGATATTCACTTGATTATCTGTTAACCAATCCCTAACGTTCCTCCAAATTTGAGCCAAATCAAACGTGTGGTTTTAGAGACATAGACGTACCAAGGAAAACAAGGTTGCGCATATATTAGAGGAAGTAGAGGACATATTTCAATGAAATTGATTATGCCTTATTTTTTTATTAATTCCTATCTTTGTTCTAATTTTGATCCAAATCCGACGAGCCGTTATAGAAATATTGGCATATCTAAAAAATTACATTTGCGCGTATGGTAGCGCTGGATGGAATTTGATGAAATTGATATGGGGCCATCTAGACACCGACCCGCACGATCCCTGATAATTTCATATACGATAGTAGGTTATATACCCATTACATCGATTTGACTACAAACAGACAGACAGACGCCGAACCAAATTCCATCGTTGATGTATGAAACGTAAAACGCGAGTGGAAATTTTCAATTCTGAGTATACAATATTTTTTTAACCTCCCGTACGAACACAATGCTCCCCTGCCTTCAGTAATGAGGAAGCAAGAATTTATAAGAGATAAATTTATAAGCGTAAAACTCAAAAAGTGTAGATTTTATTGTTTATTGAGTGCATATTCAATTGAAAGGTAATTAAATTATCAGCAAAACGGAAGAAAAAAAAATACCTGGAGACAGTTGCGTCCTGATAGAGGTCGAGAGGCCATTGGGTAACAATCCAGAGTAAATTACTGGAAAGGTTACTTCTAAAGTTGAATTTCAAATATTTTTAATTGAATATCAATAGACATAAATTAAAAACCATTTATATATTTGCAGTTGGCATTTTGGCTTTTAACTGTTTTCAAAATATTTATGCTGCAGCACTCTGGAGCTAAATATTATTACAATAAATTTATCTAAATTTAATATTCTGTATATTAATTTATAATTTTTTGTTCTACTATTATATACTACGTAGCTCTCAAAAATGTATTGTCGACTTTCAAAAATAAAAATTATCGATTCAAAGAAAAAAAACATTTAAGAAAATATCTTATTTTATTAAGCCTATTATATACATATTAAACTATTTATATTATCTTTTATTTATTATTTACAATACTTATAATTATAACTAAATTAAATATGAATGCCACCATTTATTTCTCAGTTTTATTATTTAAAGGTACAATTTAGTTCCAATCCAACAGTAATAGGCCAATATTATTATTTAAATACCAAAGTAATTTAATATCACAATGTGTCTTTTACAATTACTGAAATACCTTATATAAATCACACACAATACATCAAATTTATGATATATTATTATTAACTGACTGAAAATTCAGAATTTATAATTTTGTTAACAGCTTCGTCAGTTTAGACAAAATATCCCATTGAAACTTAATTAATTGTACACATAAGTGTAACCAAAATAGGATTTGCTCGTTATATATAATAAATAAAATATGTGGTTCGTTTAACAATAACAGAATATGATTCATAATAAACTACGATTAAAAAGTTTTAACATTCCATATTAATACTGATTCTAAGAACTGTTCATCATTATATCACAAATCATGATTACAAAAATAGGTTCAATTTATTTAATAAATCAATATATTATATTAATTATATAAAATTAAGTATTGAAATTCAACTTTTCTTAGAATCACTGTACAAGAGATTTCATAACCAATAGTATCTAAATTAAATATGGGGTCTTGCTTAGATTAGGCCCGCCAGTGATTTTTTAATGATATTTAGTAACAGTCGTTATGAAACTTGATACCATTGATACAGAAATAAAATCGCATGTTTTAAAATTATTTAATTTAGTATTAAAATGTTTTTGGTGGGACTTATCACTCTATGTTAGACTCGTATTTATGTGAGTTCATATGGAGGCAGAGAAACTAAAATTAATACGTTTTTGATAAAATCCTTGTTTCTTTAACCTGTATTTTTTTTTAATTTATCGATAAGTAACTGTTACTAGATAAAATAACTGGCGGGCCTAATCTAAACAAGACTCTAAATATGTTGATCAAACACAGGCACAAATTTAAATAGAATCCACAAAAAGAATAATTTATAATTCTTATTTGTAGTCAGTATCATTTGCTGACAATTACATCAAGAAAATTAAAGATGTCGTTATGTAAAAATTTTAATCTAAATTGCGAAATGAAAGGACATATGAATAAACAAAGTGGTCATTCATAGCTTTTTCGATGCATAAATATAGCATTCACCCATTACTGACATTTATTTTATTTATCATATCTTAGATTATTTAAAACACTTTTAATTAATGGATAATCAGTATAATAAGAAGTTGTTATAAATTAATTAAATTAAATATTGCGAGGTTTTAAAAATATTAATTTAGAGGTTTAGACTTCTATCTGGCTATTAGCCTTTCACAGTTACATGGTTTTGACGCCGAAGTTATTCACTGTTTGAATTAAAATGTTCCCACTTACACTATAGCACTACCCAGTTCTGGCAGCAGTTCTGATCCACTTCAACGGTGACCTGAGCCAGAACCAGGGTCGACCCTCAGGAATCTTCAATTTCATCTTCTTGTTCTGGATTCTTTGCGGTATCATTAATGGTAGAAACTGATAGGTTATTGTCTTTGCTGCAACTTTTACAAATATCTTCAGTTGCTTTCACCTTTTCTTCTTCAGAATAATAATATGACGTCTTTTTCCTATTGTAAAATAGACCTACCACCACCGAAGCCATCGTAATAATTAGCAGGGCCACTGCGAACCCTGCTGCGATCAGGCCGAGCTGAGTCTTATGAGTCAGAGCCAGACCAACGAAGCCCTCATCCTTGTAATCCAGGCCACTACTGCAAAGGCTCAGCTGATCAGAGGTCAAGCTGCTGAGAGTGCGACCTTGCAGTTGGGAAGGTAAGGAACAGATTACAGAGGATTTCCAAGTACTATTAGACCTTAGCATTGGTAAGATATGACAGAGGTCACAAGCCCATGGGTTGTCATGGAGAAAGACCTTGGAAATATAATCTATCTTTACTACACTTCCTTCGTCCAAAGAATGTAACTTATTCCTTGACAAGTCCAAGGAAGAGAGGCCTGGTACAGGTGTGAGCAGTTGATAATGGAACTTGGTTAGTTCGTTGCCAGACAGATTTAAGTGTTTGAGTGAACCTAAATTTGCCACTAAACTAATTGGCAGCCCATGCTTCACTGGGAGGTCTGCCATAGCCAATTCCTTCAGCCTAGTAGTTACATGGAGAACGTAAAGAAACTGGTCCACTTTGATGTTGTTACCTGACACCAACAGAGACCTGAGGTTTGTTGCTAGAGGTTGGAAGGTGATTGGTTCTAGTCGGTCCAGCTTGTTGTAGCTAAGGTCCAGTTCCAGCAGTGAGGTTAAGTTGTCGAAGGCATGGTTTGTGACCTTGGCGATCTGGCTTCGCGCGAGGTTTAGGTACTGGAGCCGGCCCTGTGAAGCGAAAGTTCCCTCCAAGACGACCGGGAAATGGTTGCCGTCCAGTCTCAACGACATCAGCTTCTTCAGGTCCCTGAACTCCTCGCGGTCCAGGTACTTGAACTGGTTCTCTCCCAGATCAAGATGGGCAAGGTTGGACAGGAGGCTGTATATGTGCGGGTTCATGTTCTTCAGATTGCATCGTCTACAGGAAAAGGTCCGCAATTCCTGTAACATTCAGAATATAGAGTTTAGAAACTTATTGAAATCTAGATGTTTATAATAATAAATAAATTGCTTATGAATAAATTACCACATCAACTTTTTCAAAATATTTTTAAATATCCTTCGTATTTGATACTAATTTATCAAACTTAAACAGAAATAGTTCAATATGTAATACCAATCGGGTAGTTTTTGTCTCAAGACATAAATCCGATTTTTTTTCTTTCTATAATCTGATTATCACCCCAGGAATCCAAATCTGGTTCAGTGGTTTTTGATTTGAAAATTTCAAGTTTTTGGAGGATTTATGTGACAACATAGCTCTATATATATATATATATATATATTAAATAGCAGCAAACGTAAATGATAAAATATTCCAAACTGATTATATAATATTTAACCTATTTATGAGAAATTATCATAATTACAAGAAACTTAGAAATGAATTTGATAAAAAATAATTTACTCAGTGAGTGACTGAGTATTTTGTTTTAAACCACAACTGCCAAGCACAAGGAAAACATGAAATAAAAATACTATGCACATTGGAATAAAAAACTCATCTACATGAATTAAAAGTGGTATGTTAGGTCATCGAGTTTCCGACGACATATAATCATCAAAAATAGTTCTGAATAATTACCGTATAAATCTAATTGTTTACATCAGCTTCCTAACTGAATTGTTTGATTTAGTAAATATTTTTAAACAACATGATCAATGAGTTGTGAGGTCATGATAATTAGTCTTACGATGTATTGGCTAATTATTTTTTTAGGTAGTTAAAGTTTAAAATTAGAAACAACTATGGTAAATTAAGGAAGGATAGAATTCATTAACCTCGGGAACAGCATTCTTTCCAAAACTTTATAATATAAACAAGGAAGAAACTCAACGATTTTCCTGATCTTATTTCTAAAACAAAGTTAAGTAATTGTGAGAGTTAAGAACATAAATGAATGGGTATTACTAAAGAATCGTTTCACTTAGACTCATTACATCGTACAGAGAATATAGATTGAACTTAAATAGGAATTTCAGTGAAGCTCTTGATTCTGAGAGTTTGGGGCTTCAATGAAGGGGACTTTAAAAGGAGACCAAGTGCTTTCAGGAAATAAATAGCGCCAGTTCAATAACTTACTTCTAAAAAGGGTTCGAGTTAAGTTCGTGGCGTGGAAAAGTTATAAATAGAGGGATTGAAAAAGCCACAGATCGTGCTTGAAGTATTCACCTGAACTTGCTTATTCTGAGTAAATTGAAAATTTTTTCGTTTTATAATTTATTAATAATTAGGATAAAAATACTTCAGGCTGCTTCTATCTTATAGTGGCGATAAAAAAACAGGTTCTGATTTTCCAATATTTTTTTCATTTTTCAAAAGGGTTGTGTCAGCAATGGATTCCATTCAGGCTTGTCGTAAAGAAAAATACAACGAAGTCTAACGAATATAGAACCACTCAATAAAACCACCAAATACTTTAAAATGTTAAAAAGACAAAACTAATCACCGTGACTCTTAATATTTTATAACACAGCTAAAATAAATATGGTTTATTCCTTATCAACATCATTAGAAGACAACATGCTGCATAGTTTGGAGATATTCAAACATTAAACAAAAGTTAATATCCATAAGCTAATTCAAAGCCCAACTGTTATAATTTTTTTTAATATGTCGCAATAAAGGACATTTATAATAATGTTCAAAGAACATATTCAAAATAAATAATAATGAAAAAAATAATTTCAAAAATAAATGTATATAAAATAAAATAAACTAAGCTAAGTAAAATAACTACCCAAATACCCACATGTACTAATACACTATATAAACAAAAATAAATTCATTCACTCAAGATCTTCGAGCCAAACCTTTCTCCCCACTCTCTGATCCCAACGCCCAGCACTCAGCCGCATTACTGGTAGACCTGGACAAATTACTATAAATGGCCCTGTAACTTGCAAATGAGTTCCCTAAGAGGAAAAACTCATATAATCAAAGTTGTAGACCATCAAATTTTGCGTATACTGGGTACTGACATTTTTATTGTTGGCCAATTATAGATCTCGAATCGGGATTCGTTATTCCTTTATAAAATTCGGTATCTTTCGGCACACCGTTTACCAAAATATTTTGCTGTTGAGAGGTGGAAAAGAGGCTTATACTGCATGTAACAGACTTTAAACAAAACTAACTCAGTAGAATAGACACCCATACTGTTGAAATATTGAAAATCACGTTTACCTTCATTACCAATTTCTAGCCATCGGGAGATTACCGATTTTGTTCGCAGCAAGTGACCTGCATTAAATTAGTTGATACTGAGTATACGCAAAATTTGATGCTCTACAACTTTTATTCTATGGGTTTTTCCTCTTAGGGAACTCATTTCCAAGTGATAGGGCCAATTATAGTAATTTGTCCCAGTTTTTGGCAAATTTAGTAAAACTCAGAGTTAGTTGACCGTGGTTTTATACCTTACCGCGAAACCAAATTTTAAAGTTTGTGTACTCGTTTGACGCAAAATTTAACTTTATCTAATTTAATAAAGAACACATTTTTCGCTTTGATGCGTTGTTTAGGAGTTATAGATGAAAAACCCAAAAAATATCGAAAAAATCTGACTTTTTTGGCTGTAAAAAGTTTTCCCTTGGTGGCCTGCGTTAGCAATTTTGTTTTTTACATGTCTAAACCCATATATAAAAGTTAAAAAAATAGAAACTTTTCTCACATTTTTCGCAATGGATTTCCCGTTTCGATCCTCAAATTATTGGCCTAATATTCTTTAAATCAGCCGCCATTTTTGAAAGCAGCGGCTCCGTAACGGCAGACAAGGTTTTTTTTACTCAGAATAACACACACTTTCGTAATTTACAATCAAACCTTTGCCTGCGATCAGGTCGATATTTGGGCCCTGGCTCCAGGGCTATGGTATTAAAGACCAGTATAGGCTGAGTAGGGAATCTGGCCATTGACAAAACTCCAGTTATAAATTAGTAACAAAAGGATCAAGGGACAGAACATGAATGTTAGGTTATTATTGGATAAATTCCAAACGACGCAGCCCTATGTCTCGAAAATTCAGTCAAAGGAAAACCCGTCAACGTTTCGTTAATTCAGGCATCATCAGGACTGAAAAACAACAAATAGAACATCACTCCATGAAATGAACTGGGAAAAGTGTAATAAGAGCAATCTTGTAAATTTTTATGGGTATTACCAGAAAGCTAATTTTTGTCTCTTTCTTTGTGTTTAATCGGCTAATATATAAATTATGTATTACCGAGATGAACATTCCTTTCTGAATCGCGGGTTGAAACTCAAAAACATTAATAACTTTCAATTGCATTTTTTCATAAATATGATTTTTGCACTTAACACACTACACGCGCAGTTGCCACAGATGTATTCTTGTATTATAAATATAAAAACTTCTAGTGATAAAAAAAAATGTATATGTATTAAAAATGAGAGAACTAATAGAAGGTAAAAACACTATGGGGGAGGATTTGATATTTATCAGAGGAGAGGGAGGTGGGAAAAGTTACATATATTCAGGCTGTCCCGTTTTAGACTGGAAAAATTCCGGCTTTGTTTTTACAGACCTTTTATGAAAGTTTTTTTTTGTTTGTTTCCTGCGCCAACAATTTTCCGCTTAAGCAGTTGAATACTTTACCTCTTTTTATCTCCACATTCGAAATTATTAAACCTTTTAAGCTGGTTGTTCCAGTTATTAGTTAATGACTTAAGACGGATCATCAACAAGCGTTCTTCAACTCATTTATGTTATTATACCATATATTTTCTATTTTTTCTCATTGTTTGATTATTTCTCTAAACTATTATTTCTGAAATACTAATAGCCAAATTGTTTTGCGAATAATCATCGAAAAGATAAAAACAACAACTCTAAGAGTAAATGGTAATTTTGTAAAGAATCTTTTTATTAAAAAATAACACAATTTTCTACCCTTAAGGGCACTTGAGTATTAGAGCTATATAAAGCAAATTCACACCGCATTCAAAATACGACCGAAACAGAAGAAAAAAAAAGAAATAACATACATAAAAGAAATGAAACTCTAAATAAAATTAAAGAACATTAGATGTTAATAGTTTACCATTGTATTATTAAGGAAGGAGATGGTCCGGTGTGGCGGTCATAAATAGACTAAATAATGGCAACACTAAAGCCAACGTTTCGACCCGAATTTGCAAGTCTTCTTCAGGGAGGCGTGTTCAGCTAGGAGTTTCACATGAACACACCTCTCTGAAGAAGACTCGCAAATTCGGGTCGAAACGTTGGCTTTTAATAAAATAGTTTTGCCACTATTTACTATATTTATGACAGCCATCCCGGACCATCTCATTCCTTAAAATCAAATAACATATGAAAATTCAAATAAAAAACACATATTCATACTTAATTATAATAAAATGATTGCTTCAACACTTCCTAATTGGAAAAAGCTTTGCAACTTTGGATGATGTCCAAATGCCGTTTCTATAAATTTTTCTCAAAAACCAATTGATTTTAAATGTCGTTAGTAATGAGCCTGGGTTCATCATTGATTAAAAATAAAAACTCTTCAAAATTTTTGTGTAAATTTAATTTAAGAATTTAATGTAAGAAAACGACATTACTTTCCGGTCTCCCTAATGTTTAAGATTTTTAATGACGCCCCCAAAACCTCAGCTTTAGTTGTTTATCAGAAGCTTTATTCCTGAAAATAGCGGATTAGTTTTTACGAGATAATTTGATAATCTAAGATATCTTGTTGGTCATATCTAACAAGTATCATGTACGTAACAACAGAAAATAATTAGAAATTGGACTTTAGTAAAAACAAATGGTTTTGATGCCAGATACATATAATACATTTATTTTTTTTATTCCTCTCCTTCCTCGCCTTTCATGCTATACAGGGTTTTCCCGGGCAAGGGGATGAGTACGGGGGATTAACACCAAAGTTCAAAGCCTCAACAATTCAAACCCTTGTACACCGGAACGCGAACTTGTAATTATTTTTATCAAATTATCTTAGATCCTGTTTATTTATCCGGTTCTGTGTACACGCATTAGCTCGCTCGGCCACCCCGCCCCTTAACATATGATACATATATTTTTTTATTTATATTCCACCCTACCTTACTTAATGGGCTATACGGGCGTTTCAGTAGTGGGGTTTTATAACAACATACTACTGCAAGTGAAACAGTTTAAAAGTACACATGATACATATAAAGTCATTCGTCGGATTTGAAAATTGATCATTACTCTAGCGGTTTCAGCGTTGAAGCTTGAACGTCCCTCCACAAAAAAAAAAAAAAAAAAAAAAAAACAACTTGGTGAAATTAAAATATATATCTTGCGTAATAGGGTTTTGCGTAAAATCTTAAAGCAAAAAATATATATATAATACAAAAATAAATAAAATAGAAATATGTATATAACTTTAAAAAATCAAAAAGTTTTAAAAGATACCTGTTTAAATTAAATATGATTACTGCTTAAAATAAATAAATAAGATGTCAGTAAGAAATTTTGCTTATAAAAGATAATACAATCGTCATTGGCTAAATCTTATTAAAATTTTGATACAAAAACAATTGCTGAATTTTTAATAGTCCGTTTTTTTTAAATTTGACTAGCAACATTTAATTTAAAATATTAAATTAGCTTAATGTGTATAATTAGATCAATATCCAGGAAACTGTAATTTTCATAAGTTATTAATAGCTAATCTAATATGAATATGCTAATCTAATAATATATTTAATATTACATTTAACATTTAAAAAGTAAATTCAGCAATTCCTGCAATTAAATGAATTAATCCCGATGCTTTAAACTGGCTACACCCTACCGCGCTCCTAAACTTTGCCCTGGAATCTGTTTTTATTTATTCCTGCTCTCTTTGAATATACATGTGGTGATTCTCGGAAAGCTTAGCCGAAATCAGGAATACAGCTTTAGGCAGCTTTATAAGTATTTCAGCTTACTTTCCAAAATGTTTTACAGCCAGATTCAACGTCATGAAAGCTTCTTATTGCATTCGCAAATATTACTAAAAATAGATAAGTATCGAATATATATATGGGGTAGCCGTACGGGCTAAGGCGCTTCCCATAGGTAATCACAGTTAAGCAACGTCGAGCGTGGTTAGTACTTGGATGGGTGACCGGCCCGATTTAGACGACCGTTCACCAGTGAAATCCATGCTGCTCGAGTCACCTCCTCCCCCGGGTATGTGAGACCCGTCAGCCTACTGGAGGCAACTCACACCGACCGGGCGTAGGACTGATGATGCTACCCCGCGTACTTAATCGGGACTCGGGATGTGGTCTACCAGGATGTTAGTAACCCCCCTGAGGTTCGGTCCGTGGACAGTCTGTTTCGGGGAAAGACATGCATAGTCTGGGCCAGACTCCCCTATCGTGCACTCCCCCCCCCTTCTACATCCCTATAAATTGCATATCGTTGTGTTCCTTGTAACTATTTATTAAAAAAAAGCCAATGTTCCTACAAAAGAAAGTGAACGCACTGCCCCAAAATGGCGTCCAAAGATGGCGGATTGACGACTTTGACTTTATTTAGTTTTTTGGTCACTGAGAATCAGCACTTGGCTTAATTTCCTCATAGTTGTAATTTTATTAAAGCTTAATAGTCAGAAAATAATAAAACATTAATAAATATTTAAAAATATTTGGCTTAGGTAATAAATACACCAGTAAAATCAATTTTTTTAGTAAAAAAAATTTCAAGTTGAAAATAATGCGCCGTTAGTAATTAAACGGCCAACAATAACGCAAAATGTGCCGAAATAAAACATCTGGAGAATATAATTGTCTTTCTAAAACACTGATAATTTTTTAAAATATTTGAAGCAGTTGCGTAGAAATTGCACTTATGCGGCAGAAAAGCGGTATTGGCGTGGGTGCCTACAAGCCTCTACCACACCGTTCTGTACACATAAATGGCTTAGTTATAGTGATATAATAACGCTTTTGGTACATCATATTGGTTTTATTAACGAACAAGTATTAATGCAATAATTTAATTGTAAAAAAAAATTAAACAATTTCATTTTTTTATTTAACTTCCTTTATTCTATACGGAGATCGTTTAAGTAGACATCTATTGTAAAAATGATATAATTATAATAATAAAACTTAATTAAAAAATACTTTGTTAAATATCTTGAATTTTTTATTTAACCTTTTCAATTTACACTTTGTTTAGTATATTTACTAATTCTTAGAGGTCATATCAATAAGTGTTTTATAAACTAAAATAATATATACCTAATCTGAACTGCATATAATGAATAGTTACCGGGTTGTTTACTAAAACCTTTTGTTATGAAATTGCGGAATAAATTGTTTGGTTAGACCATATCATAAATAAATAGGAAATTTAAATATTGAATGTATTATTCTCTCTGATCAAAGAAAGATTTAAGGGCAAAACTATAAGTTCTTCTTGTAACCGGAACTGATTGTTTAGATTCTGTCTCAAAATGTAGTAAAACGCGAAACTGAACCCAAAAATTGGATAAATACATTAAGCGAACGAGAAAGGAAGTGCCAAAATGTCGGAAAAGAAAACAAGGATCACTATCCATTATATGGCTAAACGAATATGTATTAAACAGATGAACAGAATATTTCAAGGTGCTACTAAAAGGGAGTCAAATACTGGAGAAGTTTGGACGATCTTAAGGGGACGATGCAGGTTTATTATGTTGAAGACCACTTTATTTTCGATTGTTACTGAAGGGGCACATTGGGACTATCTTCACATTGAAGCAGGCTATAGAGAGATCTATCGAGAAAGGGAAATAGGTCTCCTTCTGTTTAGTGGATTTGCAAAAAAATTTTTAAGGAATCTAAAAGGAAAACGATCATTTTCTTAAAGACTAGTACCACATGTTTTTGTAATTAATTGAACTTTAATTACATTAAATACCACCTTTAAATATATATACAATAAATGTATATAGCTAAGAAAAGGGAATTGAACATATTTTTTGGTAAATATTTTAACAGAAATAATAATATTATTTGAGTAAATTTGTAAAAAAAAAATAAGAATTGCAATATGATGTCTCAAATACTAATTATTAAAAAGATTTTATTGTGTTTTTGAGGTATAAAGAAATTTAATATATTGTATACGATTTTGCTATAACTTATATACGATTTTATAGGAAATTCCCCATTTTAGGTAGTTGGGATATAATATTTTGACCGACAAAGGGAAAGAACAATTTTTAACCATACCTAATTTTAGCTTTTGTGCATATCTCATTAGAATTTTAAAATGCCAAATGATTTTATTTCTGAACAAACTGGTTGGAAAATCACACAAAATTGTGAAAATCGGGGGAAAAAGTCATACAAATTTCCAAAACAACAAACGAATTTTAAGTGATTGATTACAGTACCTATTTACTTGTAAATAGCTCTTAAGTAAATTAGAAATATTCATTTTACCGACATGGAGATAACAGATGACGATTCTTTTATTACCTGCACATCCTTGAAGACTTCTGGATCCAGTTGATGGAAGTCGTTGTCACTGAGATCCAAGAACCTGAGCTTGGCCAGCTTGAGGAAGAGTCTAGGTGACAGCTGATGGATCCTGTTTCCTCTAAGGGACAGCACTCGCAGTTCATGGAGGTGCTGGAACGTTCCAGAGCTCATGGACTAGATGCTGTTCCAGTCTAGGTGGAGTTCAAGCAAGTTGACGAGGCCGCGAAAATTATTGTCCTGCACCTGCGAATAGTAGGTTTTAAAATTGATTTATATACTTTAAAATATACACATAATGGTGAGGATATTGTTGACTAAAAATTTAATTAAGTATAAGTTGGATGGGGGGTGCAGTCAATTAACTCGAAAAACAAGAGTGTTATTGTATTTATTATGTGCTTACGTTTCGACCCGCTTTGCAAGTCTTCATTCACGGACTGTCCAGAGCTATCAAAGAACGAAATCCAATTATTAACGAAGTGTAGGTGGATGTTTTCGTTCGTCGGGTCGATAAGAAAAGGGAATGACGTTTCCCGTTGTCTTCAGTTGTTTTACTGTTTGTGGATACCATTTTATATCTCAACTCCAGCGCACTTTTGATTTAAATATATATTAATTAAATCCATAAACTAGCTAGCATGTGGTTGGATGTCATGGAGTAATGTTCGATTAGCTGTTCTTTTTCTGTCCTGATGATGCCTGAATTGGCGAAACGTTGACGTTTATTATTATTTTTTTTTTTTTGCATTTTGCAGACATAAGGCTGTGGAGTTTAGATTGTTTCCAATTATAACTTAACATTCATGTTCTGTCTCCTGATTAGTTTATCACTTATTTACATTAACAAAAAAACATTAAAAATAATGATTTTTTAAATATTAAATATTCATCATCTATTTGATGGAACTGATTTTTTCCAAGATATCTATTATAGAAACTGACCAGTATTTATAAATGATCAACTAAATGTTCCTATTATTTACGTTTTCAATGAAATAATTTAAGCTATCATCTGTTTTTTCTTAATTTTTTAACATAAATATTAGGATTGGAAAGATTAAGATGGTAACATATAAATATGGACCCATTTCTATAATAGACGTAATAATAAAAAACAAAGTTCGTTATCACTTCAGATGAAAAATTATTAAAAAATCTTTTTTTTGTGTACCACGCTTTAGACATTATTATAATACATCCCAGATCATTGAAAAAACAAATAAATTAAAACTTTTCTATAATTTTTGTGGTATTTTTCGCTGAAAACACCCGTACATTTAGGTGGCAAGATATCAAAACACATAATTTTGATAAATAACTTGAGATGATTTTCAACTTATTTTGAATTAAACCATTAACTTCATTATTATACCTTTTAATCTTACTAAAAAAGAAAGGTTTTATAAAAATCGAGTATCTGTATTATAGACGGAAGGTGGAAAAAGAAATTGCGAATAATTCCTTATCTTTTGAAAACATAACATACCACAGTTCATTCGCTCAAAAGTCCTATTTAGAAGGTTTTGACAAAGACAATTTCTACTTTCTTTTGAAATAAACTTTCTCTAGTTTAAAGTAAATTAATTTTTAATTAATTAAATTAAATTGTTTTAAGTCATTGTTTCCTATTGAGCAAAAAACGTGACTTACTTAAAAATCTTTTTTTATTCTCATCTTCCTCGCCTTTTAGGTTATTCGGGGTTTTCCTGAGCCTTTCAGGCATTTTAAAGTGATGAGGGCGGGGATTAATGTAAGAGTTAAAAGCCCCCCCCTCCCTCGATACAAGCGACCTTATACTCATTATATGTTCTATAACTTCGGTTATCAGATTGCCAGGCATCATTGAAAAATACGAAATATTAATTTCTTATTTTCCAGTTGAAAATCGGACAATCGTTTAAACAAACTTTTTTGTAGCTCATGAAGTCTGTTACACCCCACCCCCTCTCCTTTGAATATTTCTCTCTACTTAAGCGACAGCCCGTATACATTTATTTTTATCAATTTATTTTGGATGCTTATTTAAAATTGTAATAATTTTCCTCTGGATAAGTCATCTCCATATTTTCGTGAAAATTAATCATTCTATGATAGTCATTGGAAGTATTAGATTGAAAATATTTATGGAATAATTATTATTACATAAAATTATTCAAGGAAATACATGCATCCTAAAACTATTGCAAAAATATATCCTGGGGATAGGATAAAACACAACACTAATTCCAACTGATATTTGTCAATAATCTGCCGAATCAATTATTTAAATGGATGACAAACCCACCTGAGATATATTATTAGATGTGAGATTGAGCAGCCTGAGGTTGGGGACGCCCCAGAAAGAGTGCTTTCCAATGCTGGGTACGTTCGAGTGAGTGATGTGAACTTCCTCCAACCTGTGGAACCTCTGGAAGATGGGGCCCATTGTGAGGCAGTTTTCTTGGTTCTCTGGAGCTGTGATTCTGATTACCTGTACCAAAAGCTTTGATATTTTTAATATTTCATTTTAAAAATAAACTACATTTCTACACTAAAGATACCATACCTGTATATTTGACTCCATCTGGTTCACAGGTACAGGACCAAACATAGATCCTGCAGCACAGAAAACCGAGCGACGTCCTCGGGAATCTAGACCGCAGCGGCAGTCGAAAGGGCAAGCAGCTTCTACCCAGCCAATCAGCCATGACATTGCCAGCAACACACCAACCATCTCCTAGAAGAAATGCAATAGTAGTTTTCACTTGCAGCAGAAATAATAACGGATATTGAAATAGTGGCTAAACGTGCCCCGTCAACAGGAAAAGATTAACATACCCGATCATTTAAGGACTAACCTCAAAGACAGAAGTTATGCCTAGAAAATTATAGGCAGCTGTTAATAAAATTAAGCTTCCGCTATTAGAATAGGTTCTCAAACAGCTCCAAGGATTTCACAGACAGGTAGAAGAGCGTTTCTTAAATTGATAAAAACTAGAAGCTGGGATGGGTTCCAACAGAAGAAGAGTTTTAAAAGAGAATTCAATAATTTATCAGCCTCGTGGTAAGCTACAAACTGTGTAGGAAAAACATTCTGGAGCCTGAGATTCCCAATCCTCACGAATATTCATATTAGGGGTTAGCAACCTTTTTTCGCTTGTGGGCACATTTATAGGTAAGTGTTAGATGGCGGGCAACTAATTCTTTTTTATACTGCATTTAGTGAATGTGGTTTGCAAGTAGGTGGTTTCATATTAATGAAAAAATAAAATGCAAAATATATCAATAAAACAAAATAAATACGTTTCATGACAAAAATCTTCATTATTTCCTAAACTAGCAGTGTTTCCAACAGTGTCGTTGATTTATTTTTTACTGCCAAATAAAGATATTAAACAAAACAATAGTGATGTTATTGCATCGATGAACGGATTATTATTTTCTTATAGTTGACTTATATCTCCATAAATTTTATTTTTATATCACATTTAAGAAGAAAATCGTCAAATATTACATTGAAAACTTCTATCTGTAACTGTTACGTAAAACAATAATAATGATTTTAAAAAAAACAAACAGAAAATGCTATGATATTATTAAATTATTATTTTCAAATTAATCCCTCATACTTGCAATAAATAGATATCTATTAAAGTATGTATTGTTATTTTATTGCAAACTTGTTGAACAGCAACGTAAAACGTTTGACAGATTGATCATCCATTAAGTAATGTTGGGCAAGGGAGGCCACACATATGCTTGTGAGCTCTAGGTTGGTAGTTTCCCAATCTCTTTGATAGTTCTTATATGTTTCACTAGTTATTTTAATCTATAGAGGTATATGCCCTGATTCTTTAACCAACACTTTACATTACGATAAAAGAATATATTAAAATCAAATTGCTTATTGCTCGACTGCAAGCAATACAAAACATTGTACAAAGCGGCTCTGGACTAGGCAGTCGCACCATCCTCATGCATAAAATAATGAATTCTTTACAGGTACAATCGAAAAACATCAGATGAAGATTGAGGTAACCATAAAAGAAGGATGTAGGAAATATAGAGGAGAGGAGGTGGGAGCCGATGTTAGGTGCTATCTCGAATACAAGTACTCACAGAAAGTATTTTTCTTCTGTCCAATTGAAACTAATTGCAAAGTTGGTGCTCTCAGACTATCGAGGATTAACAGCCAAGCATCACCACCTTGTTAAAGTTGTAAATCTTTTACGTCTAACTTGTGGTATTCCGAGTAATAGAGCACATGGGCACAACTTGCATTGTATATCAGGTCCTGATAGTCTGGGAACCATACCTTCCAATCCTGTACCTCCTTTACAATACTTTACAATTCTTGTAAAATGCTTATCCTTGTGTTCCTTGCAACGATTAATTAAAGAAAGCCATTGTTTTAGAAAACAGTAGTAACACTGTCCCAAAATGTCGTCCAATATTTAGGTTTTCGGTCACTGACCTTCAACATTTGGTTTAATTCCGTCATAACTTGCCGTTTATTAAAGTTTGATAGTTCAAGAATAATAAAACATGAAAAAATTAAAAAAGAATTTGCTAAGAGAATACAAACCACTAGTGAAATCAATTTTTTCAATTGAATCAAATGAAGTGCCGTCAAATCATGAAAGAATGAATTGTTTTAATAGAACCATCTTTAAAGTCCCAAAGAGCTCTGGAGTTGGTATGCCGAGTTGACGTGACTCTACGCAGTTTTTCGACGGTAATATTTTCCAGATTTATTTTTTTTTTCGAACCTTTACAACAGAAACGCCATCTTGCCTTTTTTATTTGTTTACTCATTGTTCCTCTGTACATTCGTTCAGCACGTGATTGCAGCCAACAAACTTGTTTATTGTCCCATTCCATAGAACTGTTTACATTGAAAAATCCTTTGTCATGCTTGCTACTTCGTTTTTCAATTCCTTACATATTTCTTTATGCAAATCCATTTCCTTAAATTAATTTAAATACCGTTTATCCTTCCATACATGTAAGAATAAAATTTTCGCATTTACCAGCTGCCACCTTCATTTACTGTTATCTTACAGATACTTATATATTATCTGTATTGCCTGTCATTAATTTAAACACTTATCACATCATGTACATTTATCTACAATTTAATATTATTACTTGCGCTCTGTTATTTTAGTTTAAGGATTATTATGATACTTAATTATTTCTTGATTGTCTTCTAATGTCAGACAAATGTCTTTTTTCTGTTCATTATAACTATTCTTAGAGGACTAAACTAAATTAATTTACTTTACTTTCTTTCAAAGTTATTGTTCCTGGGGGAAGTTCTTCAAACTTTTCATTTTATCAATAAATATTGCGATCATATCTAGTTTTGAGGAGATGTAGAATTGAGGTTAGCAATTACAGATTATTATTAAACTGGTTTACAATTGGTTCAATAAATAATAAGTTCTAAAAGTCCATTATCAAATACCTACCCTAATGGATAAAGTGACGCTAAACATGATACATGTTCAACCTCTGATACACCCGCTAGTTGGCTAAAAGGGACAATTGCTGCTAAAATTGTGGGTCATGGATGAAGTGAAGGATACATGGAACCCACATTTGCTATTGAAAAGACACCATTATCACTAATCTGCTCTACACTCCTCGGAGAAGGGCAGTTATAAAAGCTTTTCTCCTACTTACAGGATACAGGTTTACGTATGACAGTTCCAAAATTATGATAACCGCTTATCCAGTAATGTACTTTATTTATAGTACGACAGTGACTTTAAGATATTTTATAATAATTAAACTATTACTTTAGTTAGCACTTCATGATATATATATATATATATATATATATATATATATATATATATATATACACATATACTGCTATGTTCCTGGCCTCGCGTTTCTACGGCGAGTAAGGGGTTCCAGGAATCACATTTATTTGTATTTATATCGGTCCTAGAAGGGAACCGATCAACTTAAAATATATTAATGATGTATTTAAATGTTAGATACCACAGACCCCCTACTGTAGTATCCTAGATTGAACCATATAATTTTTATCGGATTTCCTTTCTAAAGGTATCATGTTTATAAATTTACTATTTGTTTCTATTACTAATTGGTGGCATGCAAGGTAGAATGGTAAAAGTACTACGTTGGTTTGCTAACTAATATATTTACAAATTTAAATAAAACCAAAAACATCTATATACAAAATAATAACTAAACCTATATACATAATGAATAGTTGAGAATCATACTAGAGGAGAATGCTTGTTGTTTGGTTAAAGTTACAGGTGTTATATTGATTATATTAATTAATGATTGATGGTTGCTAACACAAATTTACATTAGTATAACTAAATGCTTGTTACCACTTAGCTGGTCCTTCATAGTGTTTCTAGCCGTCATATCTGGATTCCCTGTCTCTGCTCTCCTTCAGCGTCTAGTCCGTCCATCTGCTCTCTCCGGCTGTCTTCGTCTTCCTCCCTCGACTCCCCCGCTTGAAGTCCCAAGAGCAAGTCCTCTCAGCTCTGAGTCCCAAGAAGAAGTGTCCAGTCCAAATTCTCTATTTCCCACCTTTTTTCATCCCCCTCTCTTTTGGTAGTCTTTTTCCTGATTGGCTGAATATTCTCAGCCTAAGGGATGACCACGCCCTCTCCCCCAGGCCAAGGTAAAGCAGCAGGTACAGACTTAGGTATTTCTGGTGGAAGGTGTGAAAAGGTCTTTCGGGATCCTTTTTAAACACTTAGTTGTCGGTCTTTGTCGGTGGTCCTTAAGGGTTTTTATTACCACTTACAAAAGGTTGTCCTAATGGGTTACCCTCAGTCAGGTACCGCCAGATGTGAACACTTATGATGTTTATTTATACATTTAAAATAATTATTCCACCGGCGGTCTTTACAATACATAGCAATACATACTACTAAAGTTATTTTGAGTAATAGTTTAATAATTATAAAATACCTTAAAGTATATAAGGAGAATATTATTATCATTAGAAGTCACTGATATTCTATAATTAAAGTACATTATTGGATAAGCGGTTGTCATAATTTTTTAACTGTCACTGTTTTTTTGTTTTGTTTTTTTTGTCCTTCACTTCCTCGCCTTTAAGGCCATACGGGGTTTTTTCCCGGGCCAGAGAGTGTGGGCGGGGATTTAAAAACTCCTCCGGGACGCGAACTCGTGATTATTTTTTTTTTTTTATCAAAGTCTTATATATCAGGTTGCCGGGCAACGGCGGGGCAGTGCACACGCGTTAACCCATTCGGCCGCCCCGCCCACAACTGTCACTGTAACTAAACTTGTATCTTTAAACAGATTTGTTGTAATTTTGGGTAATGGTATGAAGAAGAATAGGGCCCAGCTGTACTTCTTTCCTGATCTTTGTTTACTTCCTTAAATCAGAAAAAGAGACGTCTCATTCAGCTCCTTTTCATCCACCTCCTGATGAGCATACCGTTTATAAATCTGTTTTATCTCCATATATTTTAATATAAAATTGGAATAAAACAGTCCAGATGTGGTGGTCGATAGTTGGTGGTATCAGGTCGGTATGTAAAGTTTTGTTGTTTCAGGGGACTGCAGTTATTAGTCTTAAAATTTTAGATCTAAAAAAAATTGAGTGTTTGTAAGTGAGCGTTTTTTGCTGAACCGTAAATCTGTGGGGAATTTTGTACAAATGGGTTTAAGTAGGTGTGCGAATGTATTAAT